GTATCCTACAAAATGTAAACAAACGCCGCCATCTTGGAACGAAAAACGTATGTTTTTGTTTATAACTTTTTTTGTTGGAAATGACTGAAAACCAGATATATGTATTAACACGCTACACTATTTTCCGCTTCGTTCGGTATATGTTGCTTGCACAACTATTTTGTAAAACAAAAGTTATAGCGAACTTGCATCTCGAAGCGGGGCAGAATTTTTATGAAAATGTGTGGATACGACGCAGTTCATATTGCTTTATCTATCGTTTTTTCCTTCAAATCAATTATATATTTGTTTCAGAGTTCACCATAAACTTCGAAATATAATTTTGCATCATTTACTGAAATTTCATTAAAAAGAGATGTTTATTATCTTAGAAAATAATGATTTTTACGAAATGATACGACGCAGTTGAAAATAAAATATGATACGACGCAGTTGTATTTTTGGCAGTCTTTTCAATAGGGATAATTTTGGCATAATTTCTATTTTATGGAATAATCACTTGCGCTAGATAAAAAAAACAGATCATTTGCGGTGTATAGCAATGTTCAGATGCTTTTGATTATTTAGAATACATTGTGTCATGTTTAATTTGAAAGTTTACATTGCGGAAGCTACTTTTCAGTTAAACATGAACATGTTACCTAATTGATCATAATATCTGAAATAATTTCTTATATTTTCCTGTATGTTCAATATTATCCCTAATTGTTTTCGCAAAAAATATAGAAATCTATTAACTTGAATTCATGTTGGCTAGCTACGCTCTAAGTTAACTGTGGAAATATAGAAATCTATTAACTTGAATTCATGTTGGCTAGCTACGCTCTAAGTTAACTGTGGTTCTGCATGTTCTGGGTAAAGACTGCTTTTTTGTGGCTTGTTTTCAAACTTTCACTCTACACATTAGCTTTACTAGGGGCGAGGACCTCAGGTGCACAAAGGCATTATTTCAGACAAAATGTTGCACCTGCAGACAACCATCGACATTTTGAAACTAGCTTGATAGGTTTTCCACACGAAATAATAAAAAGAACCTGATGGTTTTCGAATTCATAGCAGTTCAGTTCAAGTGATTTGAATTCAGGAAACATAAACAGCTCGGCCACGGTCGGACACACCTGTCTGATTTGTTTTTTTCAACAAAATTTGTCAACGTCAGCTGTACAAATAAGCAGCTTTTTTATTAACTTCTGGCGTGAAGTTTTAAGATTATGAATATTTGAATTAATTATAAAGAGAATAACATTTAAATTTCTTATTTCGGTATGACTAGCAGAGAAATTTTCAATGTAAACACGGGGTAATCCTCTGTGAAGTCATTTTCTGAAAACCTTTGTTTAAGTTTTCAGGCAATTCATTATCAAATAAAAAATCACACTTTAGTATGAAGGTATGTTAAGATGCCATGTCTTTAGTCTGATGAAAATTCGATGTGATAATCTGACCTAAATTTTCTGTTTAATATTGTGAAAACTTCTTCAATACTGTTGAAAGATCATGTCTGCCTATATCTGTATCACATTTATCGGTGCACAGCGTTAAATACCTTTGCAAAACGGACACCTTCTTTACAAAATAATCTGTAGTTGTATCATATGTAAATTTAAAGTTTTTTAATGGAGAAGAATGATACTTAAGTGCAAATATAGAAAATACATTCCGTAGACCTTTTCTCATCGGCGATAAAGAAATGCAATACGGCAAAATCAGAGGTAAAGTTTCGCGGCGCTGAACTAAACGGAACGCATAACCTACTTGCAAAAATATATTGTAGCTTAACCATTTATAATATAATTTTAAAAATTGAATGTTCATGTTCAAATAATAAAGCTCATCTGTTCTCACCGATTATTAAAAAAATGAATACAATAAAATCGGCACGTAAAAGACATAAGTAATAACGGAATTGACGGAAATTATTGCTATTTACAAGTGACAAAGGTAGGCATGCAATTTGCGCATAGCTCTCTTCCGATAGCAAGAGACCTTTTCAAAATTTGTCATTCTTTCTCTTTTTTTAAAAAAAGAAAGGTCATTCCTGATTAATACTAGTACAGGGTTCAGGAGAGGTTACACTGGAATCAAAAATAGTAATCACTCCCATTTCGAACTCACGGGAACAATTTTAGAAGCATGCTAAGGCAATACTGGAACACGTTGTCATATGGGTGTGCGATCACGTGTTTCAATGTATATTGCATTTGATACAGCTTTTCGGAATTTGTAGATGCTTATGATAGGTACTTAAATGCGACTGAAAAATACAGCCTTAATAGAATTGGGAAAAGAGTCAACTCGGCCCTATACCAACTCGGCACGGGTCAACTCGGCACGGGTCAACTCGGCCCACTTTACAAAAATATATATAACGTATTAACTTTGCTTTGCATGTTGTTAAGGTAAATGAATGATAAGAAATATCTTATTTTTTTATAATATTGTACTTCTGCCGAAATAAAATATATTTAGAAAAAAAATGTTATTTATTTGTCTTGCAGATAAAATTGATATAGATCTAATAAAAATGTGTTTCATTAGATGCATTTTGTTTTTAAAGTCACATTATTATCGCTAGTTTTGGACGATTAAATGTCCTATGTTAAAATTTATTACATCAATTAAAAAGCTGGTAATCTAAGCTTTCTCTCGGTATATATTCTTTGACACTGAAGGTATTTAAATTTACGGTTAAACCTACCACGAGTCAGAAATACAGTGAGATACGCAATCAGCTATCTTTACTCGCAATTCTACTGATAAGAAAAGCCTGTCTGCTGCTAGTTCGGAAACTGTCAATCCGTGTATTATAAATAATTACCATAATTACAATAAATAGTGATAACACACTAAATATTAATAATTGAAAAGTGGGCCGAGTTGACCCGTGCCGAGTTGGAATAGGGCCGAGCTGACTCGGGGGCCGAGTACGTTTTAGGGCCGAGCTGACCCGGATTCATAGAATTGTATTACATTTTCATTTTTATGGAACCAATAAGTGACCTCTGCTTTTGACTTAAGTTGTTAACAAGAAATGTTGTTGGACGTTATTAGCATACCTAGCACATAATTTAAATAGTTTAAAACCAATATGCAGCCTGCAATGAAAATACAACTGCGTCGTATCATATTTTATTTTGAACTGCGTCGTATCATTTCGTAAAAATCATTATTTTCTAAGAAAATAAACATCTCTTTTTAATGAAAATTTAGTAAATGATGCAAAATTATGTTTTGAAGTCTATGGTGAACTCTGAAAACGAGTATATAATTGATTTGAAGGAGAAACGATAGATAAAGCAATATGAACTGCGTCGTATCCACACATTTTCATAAAAATTCTGCCCCGCTTCGAGATGCAAGTTCGCTATAACTTTTGTTTTACAAAATAGTTGTGCAAGCAACATATACCGAACGAAGTGGAAAATAGTGTAGCGTGTTAATACATATATCTGGTTTTCAGTCATTTCCAACAAAAAAAGTTATAAACAAAAACATACGTTTTTCGTTCCAAGATGGCGGCGTTTGTTTACATTTTGTAGGATACGACGCAGTTTTGATTCCCAGCCCTGTTTATAAGAAGTCAAGGGGGAGAAAACAAAACCTTACCCAAAAACAAGAAACTTCAACAATTAGTGCGGCCAAGGGAGACGGGACGAAAATTTTGCAACTTTTGCCCGTGCACCTTTAAGTTAACATTCAATGGTTGCAAACGGACGGAAATTGGGCATTTGCGGTGCGAAGCATTAACCTTTTCAAAATTTCTGCTAAAATTGGAAACTTGTTATCTCTATACAATTGCCCCTCACCGCTGTGGGTTCGAATCCCGACAGGGACTTTGGATTCTTACATGTGAGGAAGCTATCCAGCTAGCTTACGGAACGTCGGTGGTTCTACTCAGGTGCCAATTCGTGCCTGAAATAATGCACGGAAAGGCACCTGAGGTCTTCCTCCATCAGTAAAGCTGGAACGTCGCGATATTACCTATACTGTGTCGATGTGACGTAAAACCCAAAATAAACAAACAAAATCTCTATACAAACAAAAAACGTTTCCCCAAAATACACATAAATGACAAAATAGAAGCATTCTCTAATTTTCTGCATGCATAAAATTTAATCGATTGATTTGCACCCGGGAGTTCCGAATGGCACCGACGAAAAATAAAGTGGGGCGAAAACCTCGGATAACATCGTAGGCATTTCCGTATATGGTACAATAGTCAGCGGAAATAGCGTATTATTTCAATTAACGATTACAATTTGCGTCTACGTTATACGTATACGTTAATAAATATGTTTATTTTACATATTCTACAGTTACGTATTGAAAGCGCTCAAATGAAGAATGAAATTTTGCGATTTTTTAAGTTTATTGATTTGAAGGATTGCTGGCTTATTGTATGTAGTTGTAGTTGTATGTCAAGAATGCGATGTGTATGTAAAAGAAAGTAAACTTTTTGTCCGAAAATAGATCATTTAAAATACTGCTTAAATTTTGGTTTGTATGCAATAACGTTGCTGGCACAAGATAGGCTCCATAAACTCTATGATTATAATGCAAGGAGGACAACCTGTGTTCTTCTGCCACTAAAAACCTGGAATGTCGCCATATGACATTGTAAGTTTTGTTGACTTAAAACAATAACAAGACAAAATAATTAAAAATGGGAAAGTTATGCATATCATTTTGATTTTATTTAATTTTAAATACCATGTTTTATATGCTCAGTATTTATGAATATGAATGGTATTTATGAGTATAAATTAAAACCCATTGACATATTTTAAAAACATTTTAAATCAATTTTAAGGTTTCACATTTAATTTGGATGTAAACCGACTTTCCTTTGAACGATTTTGAAAACAACCGAGAGAAAAACATACACATTTTGATCATAGCTGATCTGATGACATTTAGTTAAGATACAAAAATACTATTATCAAACTTACTTTTATTTGGTATTTGTTTGCTTTTCATAAATCTGAACTTTAATCCATCAGATTATCCATGCATTATCAGTGGCGACAGACTTTTATTTATTGATCCACAAGAGAAGAACGAGAGTCAGATATGTAATACAGTGAAGCTTCGTAAGATAAGGAAAGCAAAGAAACATAACGTTGGGGATTATCTTAATGCATTGGACGGTTTGTTCGGTTTCTCTAAAGAGACATTTGATACGGGATTCAATGAAGGAACCATTTTTTGGTTTCCTCTTCGGCAAGTGCCGTCAAAGCTATCAGATGATATTTACCGTGAAACTCAAGTGAATGAGCTTCTACAATCATTTCTAAATGAAGGCCATAGGAGTTTGTTGTTTTTGAAAACATTATGCAGTATTGAAGTGTTTGTCAACCTGAATGAATTAGATTACGTTCCTAAACCAAAAAAGAGAAGAACAAAATCAAATGAGTCATTATTATCTGATTTAGAAAATATTAACTTCGGAAGAGATGTTCCTGGATACAGAGTACTAATTGACAACAAAGATCATAATCTCGTTGCTACAAGAAAGGTGCATTTGAGAATTATAGAACAATTGGTAAAGACAGTGCCAGTGGAATCAAAATATTGGGTTCATGACGTTGAAATTACAACAGAAAGAAGTTGTAAAACATCAAAGGGAATGACTCTAAAGTCCCATTGGCTTTTGGTGAACTTTCTTAAAGGTGGTGAAATATCAAGTACGACAAATGAACTCATGAACATTGATAACTGCAAAGTATCACATTTAACCGGATTTGCTGCTTTAATCTGCGAGCAAGATACATATTCAAATGCAGATGGTCATCTGTTTTGTTACCAACCGCTTCCGCAAGATCAGGAACATACGACAGGACTACCTGTTCATATTAATGGATTTTTTGCTCTCACTCAAGACCGGAGAAATGTAAGATGGCCAGACAAGGAAGACAAAGCAGTGGTATGCGGGGAAAAGAAAATACAATGGAATCTTGCTTTAACTAAAGAAATAATGCCAGATGGTTATTCCATGCTAATTCAGGAAATGGTTAATCTAAGCAAGGCCCAAAAAAATCCAAACTTCATGGTGAACGCTGTGTATTACACATTACCTGATACTCAGCGCGTTCAAATGCATTGGAAAAGTCTGTCCGATAATGTTTTAGCTAATTGCAAAGATCTTGAGATTGTTTATACCAAAAACAACAATGGAAGATGGATTCGACCCGACGAAGCCATTTTTGTAGAATCTCAAAGTCAAACATGTACACATACAATTGTAAGCCTTCTGCTACGGGAAGGGATCAATATTGCCACTGTACCCGAGTTTGTCCTGACAGCTTTTAAAAAGAGTTGTCCTGGAATAAAATATTTAACTCAACAATTCCTGAAACATCATTTGATGAGAAACCATGGTTACAAAAACTTGAAATTTCACGAGAAAGAGGAAATTCTACATTTTCTTCTGGATGGATCATCGGCAGACAATATTGACCAATTAGAACTTCTTCCTCTAGCTAATGGATCGTTCACACAGTTTTCAAAGAAGAGCAGTGTCTTTCTTGAAAGTAAAGATACGATTGAATTATTTCCTAAATACGGTGGGCAATTTGTATCACCGCAAATCAGCCAAATAACAAAACGACTGCTCCAACATCTTCTAGAAAACCACACAGGTAATGCAAATTTGAGTTGATTCTTATGTAGTCCAAATATTCATGAAACAAACTTAAATTAAGAATTCTCAATATACCTATAATTGAATCAATGAATTCTTACCGTATAAAATAAAAGACGATGTGATATAAAAAGTAGAAAATGTTTAACATTTTTAAAAGTTACTATTTTATTCTTCAAACATTTTTTGTAGACTTTAACGTATAATCTTCTTCTTTTTTGAAGCATGTTTTAGTTTAATAAATGTAGGATGCAAGATTTTTATAAGGCAATATTTTGTTTCAGATAGGACAGGGCTTCATGTGCTATCTGACGGCTCCTTTGCCAGTTTAATAGAGAAAACTATGAAAAGCGAATTACAGTACGATAACTGTATTCAAATAGATGTTATTGAAATCGGCAGATATAACACGTGGCTGAAAAAAATATGGGAGCTTATACAAAGGCGATTTTCCAAATGTATGGACTCTTTCTCTGACCTCCCCATTTTCCCTGTGTATGGGGTGACAAAGAATACAAAGTTGTCGCTGCATTCTTTAAAGTCTCCAATATTACGAATTTCATCACTCAGAACTAGAGAAGATAGACAGCTTGTGCTTTCTTCGCTTAAACTCTTGTCAATTACATTTTTTGATATTGTCCCAAAGTGGATAAATTTTGATGGTATTAAGGAGTACATACATACAGAAACAGCTGACAGTCTTGAGCAACTTTTTTCCAGAATAAACGACAAGTCAGTATACGAGTTTAATCATGAGATATCATCTGAAATGAGCTCAGCTTTACTTGAATATCTTTCAGACAGAGTACGTTGTGAACTTAGCGACGTATTTAAAAGAAAAATACAATCAATGAAGCTATTTGAAGGTCAGTTTTCAAAAAAAGACAGTTGTCTTGTGTCCCTTAAAGAAAACAACAAAATTTATACAGGAAAAGCAATTCCTGTCCCGTTTATAGAAAGGACAATAGTTCTTCATTCTGAATCAGAAATTTCTTTTGCAAGGTCTATTCAAGGACAATTCATATCAGATTTATCACTCGTTTACACTACTTTAGCAAATGCTCAAAAATACAATTACGAGGATCAACTTACAATTATAAGATGGGTAATAATCAGAAGAAAATACATAGATGATGAGGATATTCGAAATATTTTGAGAAAAACAAAATTTTTGAGAACAGCAGATGGTAACATACACGAACCTCAAGCATTATTTGACCCGTCAGACACAACATTATGCTGTTTGTTCAAAAATCGCAATATGGTCCCTGTAGTCGATAATATGGATCAAAAGTATATTGATGGATTGAAAAGACTCGGATTGAAGTCAAAAAATGACCTGAGTACATCGGATATTGTTCAAGAGTGCACAATTGTACACGAAATGGCTGAAGGAAACATTCAAATTGACAAGGAGAAATGCAAAGCTCTACTGCACATTATGAATGAGAATAGTAAGTTAGTTTTACCGGAATTATTGAACAAGAAACGCTGCATATACATGGAGGATCCATACCAACGTTGTAGCCAAAAGAATTTAAAGATACCACAAAAATTGAGAAAACCGTTTTCGCAATTTTGCTTCGCGCCAGAAGTGAAAACTATTGACTATGCACCGCTGGTAAGCTCTGTCCATCACCTAATGGAATGCAATCAATTTCCAAAGTTATCTCGTGTTTTCTGTTGGACAGTACCCCCGGAAATAGACAATGTCGCCCGTCAGCTTTTAACTATTGTCCAAATATATGAAAGTAGATTAAAGCCTGAACTTCTTCCGATCGTAACCCATATATATAAATGGTTTCGGGAACAAGGGAGATTAGAAATTCACGACATTGGTGTCACACTAAAAACAGTGTTTTTTGCATATGGCAATCGGTTTGTGTGGGTTGGAAATGGATTTCAAGCACCTGACCATGTTTTCACTGAAAGAAAAGAAAACGATGTAAACATGGATCCCTTTATTACTCATCTTCCCGATGAATACCAACATTTATCAAATTTTTTCCTTCAGCTTGGATGCCAAAGGTGCCAATCCTATAGAATGTATGTCCTAACATTGGATCACATACGACAATCCATTGAACAAAAAACAATCCACTCAGTTTGTTCTACGAAAACTGTTTTATGCATTATCATTGCCATTCTAAACAAAATAAAACAACATCATTTTGAGGAGTTCATTTCAAGCAAAGCGGACTTGTTCTTTCCAGTTGTTTGTCACGAAGGGAATGATATAATGCTTAAATCAGTAAAAGAATGTGCCTTTTGTGATGCCGAATGGTTAAGGGATATCGAGGTGGAAAGGGAAAGTGGAATATTCTGTGTGCATCCAGATGTTCCAATAACTACTGCTAAAAAACTTGGTGTTTGTTCACTTACGAGCAAGATGTTAACTGACACAGAAGCCTTTGACGAATGGGGTCAGGAAGAACCACTTACAAGACGGATAAAAACCCTTCTAAAAGACGGGTATACAGATGGTTTTTCGATTGCAAAAGAATTATTGCAAAATGCTGATGACGCAAAAGCAAAGAAATTTTGGATTTTATACGACGAAAGAGAAAACAAAGACGCCAGATCACATTTACTAAGTGAAGGCATGGCAGAATTTCAAGGACCAGCAATATGGGTATACAATGAGGCTAGATTTAGTTCAGAAGATTTAAGAAATATCACACAGTTGTATGGTGAGACAAAAAAGGACGATGCTTCAAAAATTGGAAAGTTTGGATTGGGCTTCTGTGCTGTTTATAATATAACAGACGTTCCCAGCTTTGTTACTGGATCAGATTTCGTAGTATTCGATCCTCACACAAATTATTTAGGAAGTGCATTGCCTGGAAGAAGACCAGGTTTAAAAATCTCATTGAACCCTAGTCTGGTCAAAAGATTTAAAAATCAGTTCAAACCATTTGAAGGCATATTTGGTTGCAATCTGATGACAAATATGCCATATTTCGATGGTACATTATTTCGACTTCCTCTTAGGACCATGAAAAGTGAAATAAGTAAAAAGCTGTACACACCCTCTAAAGTAGAAGAATTGTTTAAAAAAATCATGGATTTGTCTGCAAATATGCTTATATTTAATCAGAACATTCAAGAGATAAAGCTTTTTCATATTCCAAAATCGGAAAAAGATCCTAGAAAGTGCCAGATCTGTTTTGAGGTTGCGAAAAATACAGCACACTTGAAGAACAACTCTGCATTTCATTCCTCTGTAGTGGCTGAGGTTATGAAAAGGAAAGCAGAGAAATGTTTACAAGATAATCCACTGAAGGTCTTAAGTAAAATCACAATATTTGGTAAGAGACGCAACGACATAATTTCTTCTAAGAAAAAACAGGAGAATGTGAAGTCCTTTTCTGGAAATTGGTTAGTAAGTTGGTCAACTTGTACGGTTGATAAATCTATCAGTCATACGTATGAAGAGGAAGGCACACTTCCACTAGGAAGTATAGCGGTCCCAATAATACACAATGAAAAGAATCTGACGCTTTTGCCTCTGGAACGTATGGATAGTCATTTTTATACAACGGGACACTTATTTTTCTTCTTGCCGTTGCCAATAGAACACAACTTTCCTTTTCATATTAACGGTCAGTTTTTAGTTACAAGTGATAGGAGACACCTGAAAACAAATAATGAAGACGACATGAATCTAAAAAAAAACGAGTGGAACGAGAACATATTGCAAGATTCAGTTATGCATGCTCTTCTTTACATGCTAGAAAATGTGAGTAAAATCGGGCACGTAGTCGATTACAATTTTACCCAGCTTTGGCCAAGAGACGACAAATCAATATTCCGGTGTCTTCAAAAAGCATTTTACACCACGATTGTTAAGTGTAAAGATTATGAGGTGTTTGAAAGTCATGGAAAATGGCTTGATATTTCAAAATGTGTCTTCCTAGATGAAGAATTTCTCTCAACTGATGTTGGCGCGATTGCTTTTGATATGTTGTCTTTTGTGACGAAAAATGTAGTAAAAGTTCCAACAGATATATATCAGATGCTTTACAAAGCAGATAGAGAAATTATTCGGTTAAGGACAGTAATGAAAATACCTTTTTTTCTCGAATACTTCCTGCCAAGATTACAAAATTTTGGGAACAATAACGAATTGAAAGAAAAAAGGAATAGATTACTTCTTTATGCTCTTCAACTGCGTGAACATGCAATCGATTCATGGCTAAATAGTAACCAGTGTATACCATCATGCCCACATGGTACGCTCATGTGCCCATCTGAAATGATTGATCCTTTTTGTCAACTTGCAAACTTATTTGAAATTCCAGATGCGGTTTTCCCAGATACGACATTTCAGGTTAACTGGTCACTTAACTGTTTGTATGACCTCGGGTTGATCCGTAAAACGTTAACAGATGATAAACTTCTAGATAGGACACGTTCTGTTAAATTTTTGACATGTAGTATTTGTGCTTTTGAAAGATCTGGGCATCTGTTATCATACTTGAGCGAAAACGCATCAAAGCACGAGAACGTCATTGAGAGACTCCGGGATATTGAATTCCTTCCAATAAAATTGAAGCCTGATAATTGGCATTTTCTGTGGCATGGTGGTGGTGGTCAGAAACAGAAGCAGTTAAACAGATGTTCTAAGCATAAACATTATCATCAGAAGAATCATCTATTTACTTGCCCACAAAAAATGTTTTATTCTGATTGCACAAACCTTGTTGGGTGTTTGGAATATGTCCTTGCAGAAGATGTCTGGTCTTGTAGAAAATACTGGCTGAAAGACAATGTTGAAGATATGAAGATAGTGCTAGCAAAAATTGGAATGAAAGGTATTCCGAAAGAAGATGTAGATTATCAAATTGTTACAGATCAACTTATATCGATTTCTTCTTCAAGCCAACGTAGTGCATGCTGTGATGAAAATAAAGCCGTAATTGAAGAAATTTACCAACACTTAGATATGTCATGCAGAATGGAAGGAGAAAATATAAGAAAAAGCCTTGACGGTTTAGAAGTTGTCTGGACAAAAAATACTTTTGTTTCACCGAAAAATGTGGCAAGTGGTGGAATTCACCATAATTGCAATCCTTACCTTTTCAAATTGACTGATTCCCCTTTGAAGAAGTATAAACGATTACGCGAATGTTTAGGCATAAGAAAGTTTTTCTGGCCAAGACACGTTGCACTTTCGTTACAAAATATTAAGAACCAGAAAAAAAAGCGTTGTCTCACAGAATCTGAAATTGAAACAGTTATCAATATGTTGCATACACTGAAAAATAGTTTGCGGCCTGCTGAAATAGACGATGTTAGTGTAATCCTCTGCGATGAGTTGAAAGCGGTGTATGGACCAGATAGTAAATGCTGCCTGAGAGATATGAAAGAAATGTGTTTTAACGACCTTTTTCACGACGATAAGACTACGTCAATGATCTACTGTCATGATCTTATACCAAAAGCATTAGCTGAAGTATTTGGGGTCATGTCAAAGAAGATTCGTTTATTGGAAGAGGATTCAGAAGATGTAGAAGATTTTTGTCAAGAAGAATTATTAGAAGTAAGATTGAAAAGACTAGTTGAGAACTATCCATGTGATAGTGGAATATTCAAAGAACTGATACAAAATGCAGACGACGCAAATGCAACTGAAATCCATTTTCTGAAAGATTTCACTACACATCCCGTCAAACATATTTTTGACAAATCTTTCGAGCCTTTACAAGGCCCGGCTTTGTGTGTGTTTAATGACAGCTCGTTTACAAGAAGTGATTTAGACGGGATAAAGCAATTGGGTGTTGGAAGTAAATCACGTGATCCTTCAAAAACAGGACGTTATGGTGTAGGATTTAATGCCGTTTATAATTTAACAGATGCACCGTCATTATATTCTAGAGGCCCGGAATTAGAAAAAGGCGAAACTCTTTTTATCTTCGACCCATTAGCGAAATATTTGCCGAATGTGAAAAAGTCAAACCCTGGAAAACGTTATAAAAACGTCAAGAGTATCCGGAATCATGCATCAGATGTCATGGGAGGCTACCATGAACCTTATTTCATGAAAAAAAGGAATCAAATGGGAAGTGTGTTTAGATTTCCATTACGTACTAACGACATGGCAAAACTGTCAACCATTAGAAAGAAAGAAACACGTATGGACACAGTTTCAAATATGTTAGACTCGTTTTGCAAAGAGATGAATGAGGTACTATTATTCCTTAAAAACCTTAAAACTATTAAGGTGTCGTCTTTTGACAAAAGTTATACTGAGGAGTTTGTGATCCATGCACACATGACTGAAGCAGAAGAAAAGGAACAGAAAGATTTTTTCATAAACGAGTTTGCTATTTTCAAGAGCAGTTCAATTAATGATGAGCTTGCATGGGAAAGGATTTTACAAATGAAGCAAAAGTACGTTCTTTATGAACTTGACATCCAAAAAACAATACATATTAGAAGAGATATGTGTGAACCAGCACAAACAAAGGTCGTGAAAAAAAAGTTGCCCGAGCACAAAAAATACACATTTAAAGATACAATAACAAAGAATACGAAGTACATAGTGGTACAGATAATTGGTTTCAAAGATATAGATAAGGTACCCCAGATCGTGCAGCATCAGTATGAAAATGGTGGCATGGACCTCTTACCTTTAGGAGGTGTCGCTTTGTCAATAGGGAAGCAATGTAATACGTATGAAGACGTAGTTTCACAGAACAATTGCAACGTATTTTGTTTTCTTCCTCTCCCGGTGAAGACCGACTTACCATTACATGTTCATGGATATTTCTCACTCGATCACGAAATAAGAAGGGGTCTATGGAAAGCTGAAGTAGAAAACAAGTGTGGCAAAACATTGTGGAATTTAGCGATGATTGAACAGGTTATTGTCCCTGCCAATGTCATTTTGATAGAGTACGTGAAGGATAAAATGTTTAAAAATGTGTTGAAAATATCACCATTTGAAAAGATTATGCGAATTCTTAAGAATTTTCAAACTTTGTTCCCCGATAGAGAGAAAGTACAGGACTTCTACTGGCAACACATGTTAAAATGTGTTTACAAGAATTTAATATCAGAAAATATTCCATTTCTACCCGTCCTCGAAACAGCTATACAGCCAAGAAATGGAAGTGAAAAACAACGCATTGCTAAGTTGTCATGGACTGCTCTAGAATATGAAGGATTCACCTTTAAAGCGTTCGACAACTTTGAGAGTGAAGGAGGAAACACTGAATCGGATTTCAACAATATGTTAAGATCTATTGGAATGCGCATAACAACAGTATCACCAGAAATGAAAAGTTCTATGAAATTTGCTGGAGTCGAAATAAGTACATTACAACCAATGCATGTCATTCAATTTCTATGTTCATTTAATTTCTCATCGTTGGATAAATGCAACATACAAACAAACAAACCCATTGAAAAGACATCTCTTAAGTCAAAGGAGTTGCTTTTGCAAATTGCGGAATATTGTCTTCAAGACGAAGAATATTTCATAACTAATATAAAAAATATTCCGCTTATGTTAACGCAAGATCTCACCATACATACCTTACAAGAACAAAAAGTTTTGTTTTTAGAAGAAACAGGATTAACTTATAATTTGTTTCCCAGCAAACGATCGATGTTTTTGCACAAATCGGTTTCGAAGTTGATTCAAACTAAGATTACAGACTATCAGATAAAAACTGATGAAACTTGTAGGCAGTTTACACTTCAAGATTTGGCGAATCTTGTTCGCGAAACGTGTCTGTTGGATACAGAAGTTTGTGCGATTACAGCTTGGTATAAGGACAATCCTTCTGTAGCGTGGATACGACAGTTTTGGAATTTGTTTTTCTATCTTTTACCGTCCACTTACAAGCAAGGGGAAGATATTATGAAGAAAGAATTAAAGGTTATTCAGGACTTGAGAGTTATTCCTGTAGTAGATAGCTTAAGACAAAATACATTCCTTGTCAAACCATTAAACAAGAAATATTTAATAAACATAGGAAGTTTTTCTCAGAACGAATGTTTGCACAAGGCATTTAAAAGTCTTAACTTGCTTGAAATTGATGGTGATCTTTTTCAGCATAGACGAAGAGAAAGCAATTGTCCAGTGTTCAATTACCTGTTAAATCAGATACCAAAGTTTGATAGAGCGAAACATATTGTTGAATGTCTACATTTAAATCTAAGCAGAACTTCTTACTCTGCTATAACATTAAATGACTCAGTTGCGATTTTGAAATACTTTGATGTTTATCTTGGCTTAGATACGCCCAATGAAGTATTTACAGACAAACTTGCGGAAATACCCATTTTCGTTTCACACTTCAATGAATGCCTGGCAATAAAAGGCTATGAAAAAGTGTACGTTGCACCATCAGATTTCCCGATATTTGGACTGAAGGATATTGCAAGAAAAACCAAAACTTTGGTGCTTAAGGCAATTGAAACTGATAAGATATTTAGAAAATTAAACATACAAATGCTTACACATTATGAAGCTTACAGAGACTTAATTATACCCCATATACAGTACATAGAAGATGAATCAATTTACAAACATCTTGAGTTCTTAGCAAACTTCAACGAAACTAATACGCAGGAAGTATTCTATTTGTTAGATTTGTTGCGCACAAAACCCTTGATATATATCAAAGAATTGAAAAGACGAGTTAAGGTTTCCGAACTGTTTGATCCTGATCAAGTGATATTTACATCATTTTGCACATGTCAAGAGCTTGTTCCTATAAGATATAGGTCTCATGTTCTCCTTAAGTTTCTCCGATCATTAGGACTGAAAACAAAAATGTCTATAGACTTGTTTTTACAATTTGCAACAGATATATATGCAAAGAGTTTCTTTTGAAACATTTTTTTGTGATGGGGGGTTCATTTTTTCTCTCAGGCAGTTTTGATGACTTTGCTAAAATAAAGTTTATTGTGCCAAATCCAACAGACGGACCCCTTTCAAGCATTCATAAATTTCACAATGAGCATCAACTTATATGCTTTGAAGAATCAGTGCTAGCCTCGTCTATAAAAACTTGTTGGACAGTTTCGAACATCCTTTCATGTCAAGCTGATCCTACAAGTCAATGTCCAGAATATCAAAATGAGTTGGTACAAAAATTGAAAATTTGCAGAAAACCTAATCTCAAACTTCTTATTACGCACTGTTTAAATGTGTGTAAGAGTGTTTATGAAAATCCAAAAAAACTAAACAAAAATACAGTTAAATTATTGCAGTCTGTAATGGGAGATATATATAAGGATTTGAGTGTCTATCTTAAAAGTGGCGAACTAGGAAAACACAATGTCGGGGAGCTCCTTGATATGCCAGTCATATTGGTTCAGAAGATTGGAAAACTGGTTTTACCAGAAACTATTGTTATGAGTTGTAAGGACGATGAAGAAATTTGTCCATTTCTTAACAAGTGTCCAGACGAATACATACAATACAAAGACCTGTTTCTGTTCCTTGGGGCTACAATTGAGACGTCGTGTGATTCTTTTGCGTCTGTGTTATTTTCAATGAGTCAGTCATGTGGACTATCGAAGATTCTTCTACCTCAAGAAAAATTTGACGCCACCAAAGCAACGAAATTCTTTTTTAGTTATCTATCACAACAGTCTGAAAAGGTGAAGATAAAGGACAAACACTGTATTATGCTGAGCAAACGTGATACCTTAGAAGTTTCAAGAAACCTTGTTGTAAAAAATAATTCCTATTATCAAATGCAACTGAACAGGGTTAACAACTGCCAATGTTTGTATCTAATAGAATTTGAAAACTTACAAGAGACTCATTTAAAAGTAGAAAATTGTATAGACAGTTTGCAATTTTTACCACCAAGAAATAGGCCATATCTTCTGACAGATATTGTTTGTGAGCGAGTAGTATTGAAAAATATTGTTGACAAAGATAGCAGAACTTCTTGCAAATTTGAAGATTTCATTCACTGTCGTGGTTTTACCGACGGCTTTGTGCGACTTGTGAGGCATTCTTTCAGGATAGAAGGTCGCAATTGGATAAAAGATGAAGAGATTCGTTTGTTAAAACACTTGGGAAATATACAGTTTCGGCATGCTTCAGGTATAGAAACATTACTTGAAATTAAACCTATCGAAAATGGTGAATTACAGTCAGCCTTTTCATTACTATGCAGAAGCAAGGCGGTGGCAAAAACAGGCAAAGTCCGATTTGCATAATAGTGCGATATCCCTCCAGAAAGCACCGAGTAATTCGTACAACTGGGTTTGCTATATGGCGCATCAGGTATGATGATATATTTTAACACATGTTCAGTCAGCCAGCTACATTTCCCTTTTCTGTCATTGTAATAAGTCTTTTATTCGCACTAAAAATTTCTTGACCCAGAGCTTAGATTTTTAAGATATAGAAATGATTAGTTAAATTGATCAACAGTTACATAAATCATGCTACTGGGGCTAAGGAACACATGGTTGTATGGACATGTTTGATAAGATAAATCTTAAAAGTCCTCTGAAGCATTATAATGCCGAAAGCAATTTGATATTTGTCTTGCTTAGTCAACTTGAATCTTTCTACAAATGTTTTATAAATCATGCCCCTGTGATCAAAATAAGTGCTAACTTTACTTTACATAGACCAGCATAGTATTAATAATGTATTTAAAACGCAATAAAGTCTTCTAATGTGAAACTACAGTGTTCAGGGATTAGAATTCTGGTATATTGTCCAGTAAAGTTTAATAAAAGTTACATATATTGTGCCTCTGGTCCCCGGGGTATGAATTAACCCTAGTTCTAAAGGTTACTTAGTTTTTCAACATCATATATAGGGAAACACATTTTATACCTTTTCTGGAAAATTTCTAGAATGACAGCCCATATATATAGCATGTATTTAGCATGTAGCCTTTAAATAATACTATATAAATCATGTCTCTTGGTTAAAAATGGCCGTGAATTTAGTTTACTTAGTCAAGATAGACTTTGATAGGAAAATACATTGAATTCAACAAGAGTTAAGATATTTAGCATGTAGCATTTCCCGGTAGATTTCCAGAAACGATACATTCATAATGACCCTTTTGGTCAAAATTTCTTCAAAATAAAATCAAGTTATAATGTTCAATTATCTGATATTACTTATACAATGTATATTAAATTGTATTCTAGAAAAAAAATAGACTGTATATTTTTGTCTATTTTATGTGAGCCATTTACAACAATAAATTTGCTATCTTTCTAAGGCATATTTTTGTCCATAATACCTTTTTATACTTTTGCTATCGGGCGTTTGTTTCCTCTTCTCATCGGATCTAATGTTTTTTTATTGAAAGGCTGCCGAAAAATCCTTAAAAGCGGCTTGGTATTCAAAGGATGCTAACAAGATATATACAGTCAGATACAGTCATAATTTAAATCATCTTGCTTCTGGTAAGTAAATAAACCAAATCAAGGTTTGTTATGTTTTAGCTCACCTGAGCACAAAGTGCTCAAAAAGAGCTTTTGTGATCACAAGAAAATCTTCTTCTCTGGAAATGCAAGGGTTATATTTTAGATTTGTAGCAAGAAAACATTTTCTAGTGACCTCTACAAAATTGGTCAAATTAAAGTCCTTGTGTCAAAATTTGCGTCATGCTTTTTCCTTATATGCATATAGTAAAAACATAATAATACTTCTTATCTACAACTATTCAGACTTAAGCTAAGGTATTTGGCATGAAACATTGTCTATTAGACCTCTATCAAGTGTGTTCAAATTATAGCCATGGGGTCTAGATTTACCACACCTCGGGCAGTCATGGACTTTCCTTATGTGTATAATTATAGTAAAAAGTAAAATCTTCTTTTCTAAACAATTAAGACTAAAGCTTAGATATTTGACTTGAAACATGGAGCTTTACCAAGTTTATTCAAATTATAGCCCGGGGGTCTAAATTTGCCTCACACCGGGGTTAATGGAGTTTCCTTATTTTTATATAGCTTAGACTTAAACACTGTGGCCTTTTTATGTTTGTAAAGCTAGAGATATGAAATTTGAACTAGATGCACATTTGTAGATGCAAAATTGAACTTTTACATATGTTTGCCCAGATTTTGACTAAGTGATCTACTTAATATGTGAACAGAGCAAATGACTTATAGTACAGTTCATAAGGTGCAGGTGCAGAACTGAACTTTATCCTATATTTTAATTTTGACCTACTTTTAGTAAAAAGAGCTAACGCTGTGAAATTTACACTATATGCACAGTTTGAAATGCAGCATTATAGTTTGACCTAGATCTTGACCGAGTGACCTATTTTGAGAGCTATATCATTAATATTTCAACTAATGCTACAGATCCAGGCGCAGAATTGAACTTTGAAATCAGTTGACCTTTAAAATTTGACCCTGGGACCTGTTTTTGTAGTTAGATCTACATGTTTGAAATTTCTACTAAATGCACAGTTTCAGATGCAGATTTAAACTGTGATATCAGTTGACCTATATTTCGACATAATGCCTGCCTTTAATTCATAAATATTAATATCATCAGACCTCTGTTAATTTGAACCTTTATACTCAGGTGAGGGATATAGGGCCACCATGTGATTTCATTTGACTTATTCATATATACCTTCTGTATTTAAGTCTGATGAAGGTTTGGATTTTACATTCTTTTCAGATCCAATTACCATACAAGTGGCCTTTTTCGGATGTATTGCCATGCTGTTTAGTTTACACCATTAATTTATATTATCAACATCATTGAACAATTTTGAACAATCTGTTGCATGCATAGTCGTATCTTCAGCATACATTCCGATGTTAGAGAGAGCTTATCACCAACTTAGAAAATGAAGAATACTTGACCTAGTATAGACCCCTGTTCCACTATTTGAATAATTATTTCAATATTTAACAAGATTTGTCCTTGATTCATGATACGATTTGAAAAGTTTTATTGGTGAGTTTGAACTTATTTAACAATATGTCATGAACTACCAAAGCAATGCCTTCTTTAGGTCTAAAAGGTACTGTCCCTACAAATCAACTGTCATCTAAATCCTTTGCGAATTATTTTATAAGTCGTATTATAGCTGTTGCAATATTTGTTAATATCATTATCTATTAATATGAACAAACTGAATTGTACAGGACTAAGTATTTCAGTAATTTTATCTTGGAAAATTGCATCATGTCAATGTAAAGCCTCCTTCAACAAAGTTCCCCGAGAGTTATTTATGACGTTATAGTGACGAGTAGAAGATCGGGAAACAAATTGTCCTCTTTACTTATTTACATATAGAGAGCGGACCGGTAGTTTCATTATTGTTTATGTATTTTTAACAAAACAAATTTCATTTTCATTTTTCTTTGATTTGACAATTATATGAAACGATTTATCTAAAAATAACAATTTTAACCTTTGCAAAAGCTAAAGGGCGCTTTAACCTTAAGTTCTACGCAAGAGCATGCTGATATTGTACTCTATGAGCAGCTCCTGGCATACTGTTACTTACCATTACATATATATTACATTTTTGTTTTAGATTTGGGATCTGACATAGACACTCTGGCTGGTAAGTTAGTACGTTTAACAGGCGAACATACAAAAATGAGATACCCGGATGCTGTCCATGGACAAGAAATCCCAGAAGAAGTTTTTGACAGACAAACGGCTGAATCAGTGTTGTCATTCGCTGAACAAATCATAGATATTGTCGAGATCAGATTTATAAAATGAACAGAGATTGGGCGTGGAACAAAACAATTAAAAAACAGTTGGTGACAACTAATCCGCAAGCCATATGTGTATAAAAATATCCAGATAAAAACTAGTAAAACAAAATTTCTATTAAAATGACGATAGTCATGAAAATAAAATGTAGAAGAGAGATACTGTTAGTTTGTACATGTGAAATTAAGAATGCTATAGTATTATTATTAACTTTTCATTGTTATGTAGTTCTTATCTAGGATCATTACTCAATGAAAACTCATGTACATACTTGACTCATGTTCATGGAATATGCTAAGTAAACGTCTTTTTTCTGAAATAATTCAATTAAATTTAACATGATAGATTTGTTTTCTCATTGTGTTCCATAGCAGATGGAACCTGTAAGGAAAAATTTTACGTGTATAAATGATAGGTTTCTTGAGTATGTATGTGATTTGTTAATCTCCACTTGATGGACAAAAGAAAGTCGCTGGCTGTGAGAGGATAAATACGCAGACGACATGCAGAGTGACTAAACAGAAGAGAGGCATAAATAGGATGAACTTGACTTGTAATTGTTTGAAAACAACTTTGAACTGCTTTTCATAGTTCACAATCTATATAGTATATTTGTGTACAATTTAAATATATTCAGTACATTGCATGTGCGTATATTTTGTCAGCTATTTGTGGGTATCATCGAATGCTAGTTCCTGTTTACTTCACAATATACTTTATATAACATCATAAGCGGATATTGAACATTTTAACAATAGAAGTGAGTATTTATAGAAGATCAGTTGTAGGTTGTTGTACATTGTCAGTTGTTTTACATTGAAATTTATATTTTGTATATTTTGATTTTCGTGTGTATATTTTTTCTATTTGAATTGATGTCCATGCCTTTTTTCATGTTTGCATTGACATTTGTATATTTTTACATTTGAGTGTTGATATGTCCACATCTATTTTCATGTTTGCATTGACATTTGTATATTTTTACATTTGAGTTCATATGTCCACATCTATTTTCATGTTTGCATTGACATTTGTATATTTTTACATTTGACTTGATATGTCCACATCTATTTTCATGTTTGCATTGACATTTGTATATTTTTACATTTGAGTTCATATGTCCACATCTATTTTCATGTTTGCATTGACATTTGTATATTTTTACATTTGAGTTGATATGTCCACATCTATTTTCATGTTTGCATTGACATTTGTATATTTTTACATTTGAGTTAAGATGTCCATGTCTATTTTCATGTTTGCATTGACATTTGTATATTTTTTTACGTTTGAGTTGATATGTCCACATCTATTTTCATGTTTGCGTTGACATTTGTATATTTTTACATTTGAGCTGAGATGTCCATATCTATTTTCATATTTGTATTGACATTTGTATATTTTTACATTGGAGCTGATATGTCCATATCTCCTTTCATATTTGTATTGACATTTGTATATTTTATATTGGAATTTATATGCATATATCTATTTTCATATTTGTATTGACATTTGTATATTTTTACATTGGAGCTGATATGTCCATATCTATTTTCATATTTGTATTGCCATTTGTATATTTTTACATTGGAACTGAGATGTCCATATCTATTTTCATATTTGTATTGACATTTGTATATTTTATATTGGAATTTATAGCATATTTGTATTGACATTTGTATATTTTTTATAATGGAGATATGTCCATATCTTTTTCATATTTATATTGTCATTTATATGTATTATATTGAAATTTATATGCACATATCTTTTTTCATATTTGTATTGACATTTGTATATTTTTGTATTGGAATTGGTATGATCATATTTATTTTCATATTTGTATTGGCGTTTGTATATTTTAAATTGGAATTTATATTTTTTAAATGTGCGTTAACATTTGTATATTTTTCACTTTAGAATCGATTAGTATTTACCTATTTCCATATCTGTATTGGTTAATGTATTTGTACATAGTACATATAAATGTTTGCCTTTGAAATTGATAATTGTATGACTGTGTTGACACTGGAGTTGATGTATCTAAAATTATGTTCACATTGAGATTGATATATGCAAATCTATAGATGACTGTAAATCAATGTTGACATTGGAATTGGTGATTTTTTTTACATTGGAACAGATGTTTGTAAATCAATTTTTACACTGGAATTGGTGATTATTTTTCACATTGGAATAAATGTTTGTAAATCAATTTTGACATTGGAAAAGATGTTTGTAAATATATAGTCAATGCTATTGAAATTGGTTTTGTACATCATATATATGAACAAATTTTGTTCGCTTTTAGTTTATTTCTTTACACGAGTTTGCAGTGTTATTTACATGACATGTTTTAATTGATAATAATATTGTATTTTTTAGTGTAAATAGCTGTAATTTGTTTTAATTAGTATAAAATGTATTATATTAAGAATCTTATTGGATATTTTGAAATAGTCTCACTAACAAGCATTTTATTGTTAGTTTTGTGTTAAGTACTTTCCTGCCTTAAATTTAGAACTTTCCGTTGTTATTTTGTGAGGTTCCAAAAAATAATAATACCTTGTATGAAACACTGTTGATGGAACATAATTATTCAAGGTTCGTTATTGTTGAACACTTCAGAGGATTTGAATGGTTAAAGTCAATTATGTACAGTTCATACCACCTTAAATTTTGTGTTATGTAATGACTTTAAACTTATATGATTAGCAATTAAGATGTAAGATCTTTCGGTCAAAGGCCGTTTGTTTTACATTTACTTCCGGTACATTGACGGTTTTTTACCGTGAACGGGAGGGATGTTCACGGTATTTGCCGTAGAGGAATCTTGTGTGTTATTGAATTTGGGATAGAAAACATTTCTACAATCAGAAATAACTAAGAAAGAATGTTTTCTATGGTCGAGTATCTTTTAAAAAGAAACTCTTTGTTATGTTATATCTACTCTGCATCAGACAAGATATAAGATATTTACATTTGTATAAAAGTATAAATTTTACATTTTTCATATAGTATTATATTAAGTTAACTATATAATGTCTATTTAATGTTATTGATTATGCATCTGCTGGTTTTGTGAATAAACATTGTATACATGGTATACAATACATTTTGTTTGCATGTATTTTATATGAATATGTAACTTATTCTGTAACTATTTTATTTAACAAATTATCAGACTTCTTCACATCACGTGACCTTACAAACAAAGAAAATGTGGGATTTATTTTTGCAGTCACATAGTGTAAAGAAGGCCAGTCTGGCGAATGGTTAGATAAAAATGAGTACAGAATAAGAAATGGTTATTGTACAATGTTCTGTACATTACGGAATATATTTTGAACTCTTACTCAATTGTGAAGCCATATTGGATCCGCATGACGACTGGACACTAGTCCAAATCTGGGACGGAAGATAAGTGTATCTTTCTGTCCCAGTCCAAATATATATTTATATTGAACAAAACACATTAAAATAACATATCAGTATGAAAGTCGATATGACATTTTAATGCATCTATTCAACATTATAATTATCACAAACATCTGTTTTCTTTGCTTATTCTTAGTCACTTGAATCAGATTAAAACAGTATGTTTAAGTAAATTTTATTGTATAATTGTAACTTTTACTATTTCTGCATCATTTACGCGTGTTGTAACATTTACTTTAAGGTCTAATATTTACTTTTATATTTTAACATTCACCAGCGCTGTAACATTTATATGATTTGTAATATTCACTAGTAATAGTGATATTGACATATGTTGTAACATATTTTACATTAGTTAACAGCTACTGTAACATTTACTATAATGGTAACATTTACATGTAATGTAACATTTTCTAGTACTGTAACATTTACTAGTAATGTAACATTTTTAGTACTGTAACATAAATTTTACTAAAGTGATAACATTAACTAGTATTGTAACATTTCATTTCCCAGCACTGTAACATTTACGATACATGTTCTGTTGAAATAACTGTCTTCTCCATATTTTACAATGCTGATTTTTGTAGACGGTACATATTATATGATGCTATCATTGCTGGAATAGTTTATGTAACTATGGCAACATGTGTTACATTTATTTTCTGTCATATTCATAACTTTATTAAATGGACCGTGTCATAGTTTGGTTATATTTTAACAATAATTTTTGCTACATAATTTTAGGAGTGCAACGATTATATGCTGAATTGCGATCCGTCATGGCCATATTTTGATTCGATTTTCGTTGTCGAATGATATCTATAGTATAAAACATACGTCTTAGAATTTTGATCAAGTCTGAGAAAAAACTAATAAAAAAAATCGATTTGTTAACAAATAATCGAACATCGGATCAAGGGTAAGGCGAATCGTTGCATACCTGTTACATTTAAATGAGCCGCGTCACGACAAAACCAACATAGTGCGTTTGCGACCAGCATTGATCCAGACCAGCCTGCGCACCCTATTACAAGTAGAGAATCTGATAGCGAACAGCATGGATCCTAACAAGACTGCGCGGATGCGCAGTCTGGTCTGGATCCATGCTGGTCGCAAACCCACTGTGTTGGTTTTGTCATGACGCGGCTCAAATTTAATTCTATGAAATCTGACATAAAAGGATGTATTTTATTTCTAATTATATTATGAATTATTGTTTTAGTGATAGAAATGCTGGGTAAAAATATAATCGTGAGTCAATCATGATTGATTTTTATCATAATTCGGTAATAAATAAAATAACTTTGATGAATTATATGATTTTAAGTCATCTTTTGCTCCAAATATCAAAACCTTAAATACTAACATCATATATTTGAAATTTTTACGAGTATAATAAAAATGTGTGGATACCTCATAAATTATACAAAAGTTTTAAAAACGTTTGATAGATAACTTGTTGTTTTTTATGAAGATTTATTAACATGGTTTTAAAGAGGATATCGGTAGTAAAAAGTATTTTGCCCTCATTTTGTCTCTCACACTGGTGTACCTTTAGAGTTCTATATAATAACATTATATAATGTTCTTATATTTTCGTTTACATTTGACCAAGTAGCGAAATTGTCACGATTCGATTTGTGGAAATTTGTGTTGTAGTATCCATATATAGAGTTCATTGCCAGAGTATATATAGAGTTCATTACCAGAGTACAAAATAAAAAAATAAATTTATTAAATAACTATACGTTATTAGTCCTATAAAAAAAGCACCTGCCACGTTCCATAACACGATAGCCAGGCTGCCTTAAATCGGTGCCAATATCTATATCGCTTTTTCGGCTCCGGGCCGAAAAGTGATATAGATATAAAGCCCGCATTTGAATTAATTTGATTGGCTGACAAATAAGGGCCAAAAAATGATATAGATTTCTGAAGAAGAAAAAAGGGAAATGACAGCCATTTTGTCTTAACTCGGTCTATGTGTAGACGTCGACAGGTTGCATAAATGAATCAAAATATTCTCAGTTTCTAAACATTCATGTCATGATTTGATAAAATGTAGTTATTTTTACAGTTGTTCTTTGATATAATTAAAATATGTTAGAATTAAAATAAGAAGAAATATCCGAGGATTAAATGTGAAATATTATAAGTACATGTAGTTATTTAATAAAATTGTCAATAAATAAGTGATTTAATATTGGCCCTGTTATTTGTCCTCGGGTGAGTCGTACATTGGCCCTCGGCCTTCGGCCTTGGGCCAATACGACTGCCCTTTTGATTTAATCATATTTTATTGCTTGAAACATGTACATGTAACATAGAGATTACATTAATACAAAACAGAATACAATAAATACGACTGCCCTCGGACAAATAACAGGGCCAATATCAAAACATATATAAAAGAACGAACCTTGTAAAGTATGTAAATACAGTTCAGTTTATTCAGCAAATCGGCATAATAATATGCCTTTGGCCAATTTAACATTTGCAAAGTGAAGAATATGGCCAAGACAACATAAACATATAAAACAGTACATAATACAGTGCTAGTACATAATAAATATACATATAACCTACACAAATTGTCACAAATATACAGTATAGTGAAGTGTATTTATATAATGCTAATTAAGAAGCAGCTTCTACATCGACAAATCTTTTCCTTATTTGAAATGCTTCATACAAATATTTGGCAGTTTTATATAACTTATTTTTACTCTTACAGGACATAATGTTTGAAAATGTTTGCCTACTAGGCCATGAACAATTACCTAAATATTTTGTTCTTATTTCAGAATATATATAGGGCACGTTAACAAAAAGTGATATTCCGATTCAACTAAATTTGTATTACAAGCTTTACAGATTCGTTCATTTCTATTATGCATACCTTGATATCTACCAACCTCAATTTCTAAACTATGAGAACTTAATCTAAAGCCTGTCATGCATTTTCTAAATTTATCTATATTAATACATTCCAAATATTTTTTTCAAACCAAAACATTGTTTTATACATTCTATAATATTCAAATTTGGACATGTCTTCTATACATTCATTCCATTTTTGTACATATTGATCTCGTAACTCTGCTTTAAAAATAGGTGCAAAGTTGTAATTGACCCAGGAAGTTAAATAAATATAACTACATCCTAAATCATCTACTAATGTTTTAATCTTAGAATGCCCATGAATTTATTGTTATTTGTGTTACATTGTTCAATATATAATTTATACATTGGTGAATTTGATTATTCATTATTTTTAGCCAGTATTGTAATGATCTCTCTTTACTAATAACAGAGAGAGGGTACCTTCCTAGCTCGCCAAAAACCGCAGCATTTGGAGTTTGTTGTTTCACACCTAAAACAATTTTACAAAATTTGAATATGAAGTTTTATCTACTCCTTTAAAATCATAAATTCCCCATACATCAGAGCAATACAAAATTATTGGTACAACCATAGAATCAAAAAAGCTAGTTTAGTTTTATATCTAAGTTCACTCTATAAAACAATTGTAATAGTGAATTATAAGCCTTGAAGAGCTTGATCTGATAAAGTTTTTTAACAGAAGTTTCAATTACCTGTATAAGTAAAATTTACACCAAAGATAAGTAAAATTATCAAACAACTTCTACAATTTCATCATTTATTGTCCAAACATAATTACACGGTGTTTTCTTTTCTCAAAAATACAAATTTTTGTCTTTTTAAAACTTAATCTTAAGACCCATTTTGTAGAATAATTTTGAACCATGTTTAGTTGTGCTTGAAGACTATCAGGACTAGTGGTAAAAAGAGCTATATATCATCAGCAAAAAGTAACATGTACATTACTCCACATATCTAAATCTTTTTCAGTTAACAGGTTAAAATCAAGACTTTCATTTTATATCATTTAATGAACAAAATAAAAAAGTAATGGGGAGAGTGGTTCCCCTTGCTTTAAGCCCACAGTGACGTCAAAAAATTCTGATAGTTTCATGTTTCGGGACAATCTAACACATGATTTAACATTCGTATATATTGACCTAATAATATTAATCATTTTACAACTTATACCCGTTTTTAAAAGTTTAACCCATAATGCATCCCGAATCACAGTATCAAAAGCTTTTTCATAATCGATAAAAGCACAATATATTAGACTTATTAGATAAAACCTTTTGAATAATCGAATGTAAAATGAATATACAATCAGTTGTCGAAATGCTTATCTCTAAAACCAAATTGTGATCCATTAAATACATCACATTGTTCACACCATTTATTCAACCTATTTCTTAACAGCAATGAAAAGATTTTACCAATTACGTTTACAAGTGTTATTCCCCTATAATTTGACGGATTACTAGTACCCCCCCCCCCCCCCTTTTTATGTATTGGTATTATAATACCCTTACACCTCGACTCCGGGTATAAGCCGGAGTCAAATATTTTATTAAATATAATAACAAGATATGGCACAATAAAGTTGTTAGAGTCAATGAAAAAATCCGCAACATTATTATTTATATCACAACTTTTATACCTATTCAGTGAAGAAATAGTTTTTGATATTTCTTCAGCTGTAAAAGGGCTGTCTAACAATTCAATATTTATTTCGTTACTTTGATCAGAATTTATATTTTCAGGCATAAACTCACAATGAGCTGTATTTGAAATATTTTTAAAATGTTCTAAAAAGTCCAAAGAACTCACATCATTAGAATTTACTTTATTATATTTATTGAACTTTTTTATATGTTTCCAAAACTTACGTGGACTGCTTTTACTCATATTACAGAGTTTAGACCTTTCTTTTAGATTTAAAGATCGCTTAGCATTCCTTTTCACTTTTGAATATTCTTTCCTACTGTTAAGAAAGTTAGTTTTATTGTTATCATCTTTATTTAAACCAAATGCTCTTTTCAGACGGACCGGGCTCAACATCAGTTCGATAGGCATGTCTTTTTCTGCGCTAGTCTTCAAATGTCTCGACGGAAGAATTAAAGAATATTAAATACCTGTATCAGACAAATATATAACGAGAAAATCACTGAATCCATAATGTTATGTGTATTTAATTTTCTCTAAAACGTTATGATTTTTTTTTCAATCCGACGTTTGTGTTTTGTTTTGATTTTTTTTATTTATTTTTTTTTTTTTTTTTTTTTTTTTTTTTTTTTTTTTGGGGGGGGGGGGGGTGCTTCCTTATTGAGTACGAAATAATAGAAAATGAAAATAATATATAGGTTATCAACGAGTAACTTGCACTTTTTCTGTACCGTAAGACCTGTTTGATGAAAGAAGGAAATGTTTACAAAGTTAGAAATTGGAAATTTAAACAAAAATAGTTCACATGGTTTAATAATCTATAAAAGGTCATGAAGTCTCCAAAGTGCGTTAGATAAGACAACGGTAATACACGAAAGGTCGCGCGACAATTCCTTTGTTTTAACTTGATAATAATGACCCTATTTTGTGCAGTTAATATGCCCTTTCTTTTATCGTGTCTCTAGTTCAAGATTAAGATAAGGCTATCAAAAAAGGGAGTCGGTCACTTCGAACAAACGCTATTTACGCATCTTACGTTGTTTTTATGATTCCTTTCTCCACTGTATAGCATTTAAAATCGCGAAAATGTTTTCTTTAAGTTGTTGTAGACAAATTTCGGATTTTACATACGGACTTCATGAAATGTTTTAGTAGGATTGTACTTGGTTGAGTTTGATTTCTAAATGTCAGAATGTCTACCTCGTGGAGCGCAGTTAAGAATATTCCCATGTATGAACTGTACAAGAACATTAACATTTCACCTAATCCTTTTATTATCAAGCCAAATGAAGATGATGACGAAGATGTTTATGATCAAAATGTGGACAGCGATGATGATAATGTTTTTAAGTTCCCGCCACCCAAAAATTACATCCAAGGTAAGTATATTACTTTGCTTTAAAATGTTTACTTGCAACTGGTACATGTAAAAAATGCAACTTTCAGCCTGTAGTGTACCCGTGAATAATGTATAATTATGTAATGTATTCCGGTGATTGATAATAAAAAAGCAACATGCAATAATGAGATGAAATTCACTTCAACATGTGCAAACTTGTAGCTTTATACACATATAATCTTTACAAAAAAGCCTTTAACTATAAATGGCTTATAGGTTAAAGTGAATTGGTCTACAATGGGCACATTTCCATAAGTGTTTGAAATATTGATAAAAAACAGATGTATCTCACACATACAAACAACATCCATGTGGTTTATTGTCGTGTATGATGCTAAATACTATCAACATAATTATTAATGGTATCACAAACCTTCCATTATAGACCAATTCACTTTAATGTTTAAAAGAAAACGGCAGATCTCCAGGAACAATCACTTCCATTTTGAAAGTACAGTTGCTCTAAAATAGTTGGTAGGCCTATAACTTTGATGAAAATATGCTTCAGTTTAGATAATGTTTTTTTGTTAAAAAATATTACTCTTGAAAAAAATATATTTATGATAGTATTGTTCTTCATTTTTTTTTTTAATGTTGATTACTCCCACTTATCTGGTCTTATCTTTAGATATAAATAGTGCCGTGTTAAGATATATCGATGCATATCTGACCTACATTCGTTTCAATGAGGTCTTATAGATAAAGAACGCACGTTTCGCGTAGGTGTTCAAGTTCACATAGGCCAGTACTGTGCTCGAACTCACCTACGCAGTTCTACATAAACGAAGAAAAAAATCCATTTATACAAGTCCTTTTATAAATCTATGATTAAAATCATAAGTTACATTGATCTCGTATTAGTAATAATTATAATAATAACAATAATGAAATAATAATTATTGTTATGATGATGGTAATGCTAGCATATAAGGGAGATAACTATAGAATTTATTATGACCATACTAACCAGCATTCACGTCCCTTTAATTATATGTCATTGCATATGTCTATATACGTCTTTTTTTAAGACGTTATAAAGTATTAAACTACTTGTTTTTTATCTGAGTTATCTGTATATTTCAGCATTTAACATCAACTTTATTTATGTTGTTACAAGACAATTGCTTTGATGTCTACAGTACAGTCTGGGACATAATGTCCCAATAAAAAAATTTACTATAATTTTATAATCTATGCGTACTGCTGATTTGACCAAATTAACTATAAATAAAGTTATAATTCTATCCATTGGCTTGTAACATAGATACGCTTCTCCATTATATGTAAATAAAGAAAAATATTAATAAGCAAAATAATTTTTTTATGATCCTTCGAAAAGAATTCGTTTACTGAACATTTCTATTTTCAAATACAACCTTCTTCCCAAGATGGCGACTTGCATGTGAGGAATTTATCAGAGATTTGAAAGAAATAAGGAATTTCGAGGTAGTATTGATAATAAACAATGTATGAGTAAAGTTAAAATATGTAAGGCTTCAAGTTGTTTATGTATCGACCTTTCTTGAAGCAAAATGAAACCGGGTGCATGTGTTTATCAAAGGAGGGGTCGTCTCAAAATTATTTGTGACGATAATTTGTCAAAATTGAAGTTGTACAGCACTATTTGATATAGTGATAGTTTGTTGGAAATAGAAAACATGATTCTTTACATTTTAAATTCTCATCAATTCTTTTAAGAACGAAATGTTCTTTTGTTAGTTGTAGGTCTGAAAAAAGGCGCTTTCCAGATTTCAGACTAACAGACTAAAACAGCAAAGTGACAGAAGCCTCTAAGTAGTGTAGTTCTTAATCATGTATGCAAGCAAACATTCAAAGAAAAACTGATATTATTATAGTTATGAGTACTGGTCAGGGACCATCAACCAGACACTTAGTTCAAGTTAAAATCTTTTTCCATACTGCACAGATTTCATAATTTTAAAAATAGACAGTGCAGTGTTTTAAAATAATTGTAGCTTCTGAAATAGTTAGTATACTGTAAACATCAGTTTGGTATTGATATTATATAAGAGCTTTAAGTTGTGTTCACCATGGAGCTAATTTGGTACTATCAATGTAGGAGTCAGCAGTTAGGGGTCAGTTGGGTCAAGGACGGGAAACGGACAAAAGCCCTCCCGTCCAAAAATGACAGGGCGGACAAAAGCCCTCCCGTCCAAAAATGACAGGGCGGACAAAAGCCCTCCCGGAGAAAAATGACAAGGCTGACAAAAGCCCTCCCGTGAAAATGACTGGGCTGACAAAAGCCCTCCTGTGAAATTAACAAGGCGGACAAAATCCCTCACGTAACAAAATATATATGTATGCTACATACCTGTTTTTTTTAAATGCACTTAACATATTAAATTTAAAACATAAATATTTCTTGTTGTTTTCTATTGGTCTAAGTATATTTATGAGCTAGAGCCACCTTTCATCCAGAATATACCTTTCAGAAATATCTAACGAGGTAACATTTTCACACGAATGTCGATCGTTTAAACAAAGTCACTTTTAAAAGTAATTGACTCATTACAAGGCACATTATAGATGTCTTGGACTTTTAATTTTAGTTAATTTAAACTTCTTTTCATCATTTATTTCTCTATCAATCTTAATTTCACATATGAGTAATCCTTCATTTTTACGTGAATAAATATGCACTTACAGATTTTAGCACTTATTATTCAGATGCCTGTCAGGAATGTGCTCAAGCTCATACAAACACGCTTATGCCAATGGAAAACAAAAATATTCATGATTACAATTTTAATATGTTGAGTGCATTGAAATGAAAGTACAAACTATTCAATGTACATATATGTATTTGCTGCGGGAGGGCTTTTGTCCGCCCTGTCATTTTCACGGGAGGGCTTTTGTCCGCCCAGTCATTTTTACGGGAGGGCTTTTGTCTGCCCTGTCTGTTTTTACAGGAGGGCTTTTGTCCGCCCTGTCAATTTCACGGGAGGGCTTCTGTCCGCCTTGTCATTTTTGGACGGGAGGGCTTTTGTCCGGGAGGGCTTTTGTCCTACACTCGTCAAGGACACCAGTGCTAAAAATAGATTTTTACGCTCTTGCACATACAGCCTTTATTAATTGACTGACTTTCATATTTGGTATTGTTTGGCAATATTGACCTGAGACATTTGAATATTCAATGACCTTTGCCAGTAATTATATCTGAAACTATACAGACTTTAATATATGATTCAACGGTAAATGTATCAGCGTATCACTTGACTTACTAGCCTCAGTGACAATGTGTAGCACTTAAAGTGTTAACCCTTTCCCCCATGAGAATATTGTGAAAAATGGCTGTTTTCACTGAAAATCCTCCTGTTACAAGTTCAAACTGGTATGAAAGTATGAAAAATGCTTCAATACTAATCAAACTTGGCACAAATGTTGACTGGACCACGTTACATTATGATCAACCTGGGGTCATTTTTAGCCTCTCACAAGTCCAAAATTTTCTTGGCGATGAGGGGGACTCCGCCCCCCCCCCTTCAAACCCCCCCAACAGAAGGGGCACATCCCCCTTCTGGCAACCCCCTGATGTATCTTTTGGATGGGGGCGGCACGGAAAAAGTGCTCATTTTTTTCAGCAACATTTCTCAAACGAAAACATGTGTTTGGGGCCCAAATAGGACATTTTTTCACTATTTGAGGACTAAAAAAGGGGGGGGGGGGTCGAAAATGCGTTGTTTCGCGTATATATGAGGTAAAGGGTTAACAAAAAATAATGAAAAATTTTAGAATCACCTAAAAACTAGTTTTTCCATGTTAACATGTGGTCTTTCACCTAATTTTGGTGAAAAATTGTTGTTTTGTAACATTTATAATTTTTTTTATTAACCCTTTCCCCCATGAGCATATTGTGAAAAATGGCCGTTTTCACTGAATATCCTCCTGTTACAAGTTCAAACTGCTATGAAACTATGAAAAATGCTTCAATACTAATCAAACTTGGCACAAATATTGACTGGACCATTGCCTTTGTAACGACATGCTCAGTCTTAAATTTCCTGTTACCATGGCAATGAGGGGACATCTCAAAATTGCCAAAAATCACTATTTTGCCTCGATTTTCTCCATCAAAATTTATTTCAAAGTGCTGCAACTTCTCAAGGGATTGAGATAGAGTCAAAGGCTTTTCAGCGTTGGTTACACGTTACATTATGATCGACCTGGGGTCATTTTTAGCCTCTCACAAGTCCAAATTTTTCTTGGCGATGAGGGGGACTCCGCCCCCCTTCAAACCCCCCTAACAGAAGGGGCACATCCCCCTTCTGGCAACCCCCTGATGTATCTTTTGGATGGGGGGCGGCGGCGCCAAAAAAGTGCTCATATTTTTTCAGCAACATTTCTCAAACGAAAACATGTGTTTGGGGCCCAAATAGGACATTTTTTCACTATTTGAGGCCTAAAAAAGGGGGGTTGAAAGTGCGTTGTTTCGCGTATATATGAGGTAAAGGGTTAAATTGAAGGTTGTAGGTTTGAATCATATGGATTTCTTTCTTTTTAAATTTTCATAAATATTTTTTCAATTATTATTACTTTGCTGTAGACAGTTGATAGTGGGGGTTGCTATAGACACATTTCTTGTTTACCAATGTTAAATATTTAGAATGGGAATATATCAGGTGGCCCTTTAAGTTTGAGCTCACTGGTTTCAAGGTCAAGGTTTTGCATTTGTATATGTTTGATAAATTATTATTGGTAAGTTGAAAATGTTTTTCAACTTCATCAAATAGCATTTACATGGGAACTTATATTTTTCTCAAAAACAAAAGGTCACAACTCTATCAAGTTTAACTGTTATTTTTTTATAACTGTGTTTACGATTATTTTTGGCATTTTTTTCTGTCCATAACGGAGTGAATGGGTAAACCTTTTTTCGGAAAATTTGTTACTGACAAGAATATGGGCCAGAAGCATTTGTGTTTACCCAAAATTTTCTTGTTTTTGATGCAAGTTATAACTGCATAACTGACTTGCCTCTTACTGATGAGTGCTGTGGGTTTGAATCATATTAGGGAATTAAGCTTTCCTGTTTAGTCAGTTAGCTTTCAGAAGGTTGGTGGTTCTATTCAGGTGTCTGCTCATTCTTGAAATAATGCATAAAGGGTCACCTGGGGTTCTTGCTCCACATGTAAAGCTTAAAAGGCACCATATGGTTTATACGTTGTCGGTGTGACTTACATGTATTTACTTACAAACAATGATTATTATCGGTATCCTCATGCATTGATAAAATGTCTTTAGTGTCTAAATTTAAGTCACTTCTCCCTAAATTTTCAGTTCAAGTTTAGGTATTCCCTGAAAGTCTGGCTAGTGCCTAGATCATCTAACTACATGTACATCATGTAGCATTGTTTTTTTTCCCAATTGTGAAATTAGAAATTAAAGATTTTAATTCATATTATGCTCCAGTTTTTTCTTACAGGCACTGAAATAGAGGAGATCTGTCTATTTATCATATTATGTATAAACAATTTACTTAATAAAGTCTTTCTTTTATTTCCAGGAGGAACATATTCTCCAGCATACCCGGGACTTCCTTCTTACACTGACTTGCCTCCTCTACCATTTGGTTCGCCAATTTTTCACTTTGACGAAAAAATGGCAGATGACCCATCACACAAGGCTATGTTGTACTTCTTGGAGATCTTGATGAACTCCGGAGTTCCACTTACCATCAGCCAGTTGGCAGGGAGGTTTGGAAGTAAAAGTTTCACACCTGAAATGAGACAATCTTGTGGTGGAAATGAAGCTGGATTGAGAAAATTCTTGTTGAAATTTCCTTCTTTGTTCTGTGTGAATGGGAATTTAGTCAGTCTGAATGATGGTACAGCTAATCTTGGGAAGAATTTTCGTGAAAGTAGTCCGGCATCAACAACGTCGGATGTCTCTGTTGAGACAGAGGCAGTACAGTATTTTCGTAATAAGATGATCCGCAAAGGTGAAAAATGGCTACCAGTGTTAAGTCTTGCCGGCCATCTTTCTCAAGCCTCGCCGGAAATAAGGGAATGTGTCGGCCCTCAGAACCAATTCAAAGAGTGGCTTGAACGGCACCCCCTTATATTTGATATGAGAGGGGATTTAGTGGCGTTGAAGGACAACATCAACTACAGCGCCGTAAATCCTGCAGGAGAATCGTTAGAGCTGGATAATGTTCATTTTAATTCAAATCCTCGTTACTCTGCTGGTGATTTTAATCCAAGATTTTCAGGCAGTGATCAGCTTCCTCGTACACCAAAGGCCAAGCGACGCCCTAAGTCAATAGAAATACCACCAAATTCTCCAAAACCATCCATACCTCGAACCCCTTCATTTACCTCACAAAGTCAGCCTCTTACGCCAACTCCATTAAGTGCCAAAGCTGGGCCTGCAACAATGACAGCAAATGAGTACAAAGCTGTTATGTTCTTGAAAGGAATCATTGAGAAGAAAGGTGACATGAAGTTGAATGGATTGACAGGACATTTTAGCCAGGCTCCTGAAAGTTTGCGTAACACAATTGGATGGAGTAAGCCTGAACTTGAGAAGTTTGTGAGGAGTCATGCTAACATCTTTGTCATTTCTGAAGATGAGACAGTGTCTGTTATTAAGAATGCAAGATTGAATGTGATAATCACAGGCAGTAGACCATCCGCTAATGCTGCAAAATCTGGTAAAACAGGTAAAGGCAGAGTTTATCATGTGGCTAAATTGTGGGGTATCGTTGATCTTGGTAAACATGAACATGTTTTCATTGACCGTACTATTTTTGGAAAACATATTGACGATCTAAATAAACTATTGACTGTTGGAGAAATGGTATGTTTTGAGTCAATACCAGCTCCTAAAGGTAGTCGTGCCCGTTGGCGAGCAACTAAAGTCTGGAAGGAACATGAATCAATTGAAGACCTTATCGATCGTGTAACAAGTCGACTTAGTGTATCGTTTGATTCACTCCGAGAACCAATGACACCAACAACTCCTCTTCCCATTTCTGATGCTAATATTGATGAGGAAATCAGAAGAATGATACCGGAGTTGAACGATTCTGGGGTCATTCAGTCACCTGTAAATGTTGGTGGTATCAAGTATTCGTTTTCAGACGCTGCCCCCAGCGGAGCGGGTGTTGTTCCAGTTTGGAATTTCCGGCATCAAGAATTGTCAGCAATGAGGGATATAGACGACCTTGACCTTAGTGATGATTCAGATTCACCAAATCTCACAATGGTTGCAGAAAAATACTATATGAATAGATCAGTACTTGGCGATTGTCCAAAGAAAGAAGTTTCAGAAATAAAAAGGGAAAATGGTGTAGAAGATGAGAACAAGAAAAAATCTTTCACAATAGGCTGCCAGACGATTGTTACTGGGGAGGTTTTAGCAACCCAGCTCTTCCACGAGGATTTTTAAACTTTGAACATTGTTTTAACAAGGAAAAGAGGTATTAATACTGGTTAAACATTTTTTTAAACATTGGGAGGTTCCTTCATAATTTTGTTCATTTGGTTAATTATTTGAACCTTTTCTTTCTAAGGTAAGTCATTTTACGTAAGTGTAATTAGTGTTTCCATATTTTTGTTTTTCAAGCAGGATTCGAAGTTGTAATATATTTTTAACACTTTTGCATGTATTTTTTTGTTGCGCCTAACCAGGATAACTTAATATTAATGGTCAAAGTCATATAGAGAACTTGGGCATTTTTTGTGATTTAAAGATGCATGACATTGTATCACCTGTGCATGAATCATAGTGGGTTTTTTTAAATCGTTTTTTTATTTCATTTTGTGTAAAGCAATATCTAAAGGATGTAAATTGTAATATTTCGTAGTAAGTAATTCAAATGGAATTTATATGCTCCCATTTCTTCATTATTTGTTTTCTAGAAACTGATGCTTTTTAAAATTGGCTATCAATTGATCACCATGAAGGATTTAATTTTCAAAGCATTGCATGATTTAAATGTTATACAAAACAACAAGAGAGGTCATATTTTGTAAATTTTGCTCAGAAGTACATTTCGTTTGGATTTTGTATATTTTATCTATTAGAATTACCCATGTAGCCAGATATGTAACCAATCATTGTGCTGGGTTTTGTATTATACATGAATATCACATACCCCTTAAAGCTACTGTCCCACACATGGTGCAGGTTTCAACTTTTTTTTGAAAATGCAAAAATCAAATTGCACTAAAGGTTTAAACATTTACATGAAATCAAAATAATTAGAAATGTTCCATGATCCCAGAAATACCAGATTATTATAAAAAAAAGATTTTGCACCTTTTTTATCCTTCTTTAACTTGAAACAAATCATTTATCAATTTAATGTGTGTGGATTAGTACCTTTAACTGTTTTAATAGTCTGTGTTTTGTATAAAACTCACTTTCCATGACTTTGTTTTTTTGTTTTGAAATATGTAAACTCCAGTTTCTTATGATTTATCTCTCTCTTTCTCTCTCTCTCCCTCTATCTGTGATTCTGTTTTGTTCCCATAAATTTAACTGTATAATTGTATGTTTCACAATATATCTTTTTTATGTTCACTGTTATCAAAGAAATGTAGTGCGAAGCAATTAATTTTGAAATTAGATTTATAAACATTTACAAACATTCTTTGTAGATAGTTTTTAATGAATATCAATATGATTATGATCTACTATTGAAAGCTAATCATGTTATATTGAAATAACATTTTTTTCCAGCATTTCTGTTTTTTAATAGTTTTAAAAGGCCAAGTTGAATAATGTTTTGGTTTATATGGTTTGAATGTTAAATAAGTAGTTATAATTTGCCTATGACACCAGCCTACATCTAGGGTCAGGTTAAATGTATGCATATTCCTGCATTTTGACTGGATGTCAATCAAATTTTTAACCTTCGATACATCAAACCCCTTGAAATGAAAATGGACGGTTCCCAATCCAAGGTAACGCTAGTCCATATTATAAATTAGTATAGCATCATTGCATGGGATAATTAGTGTTTGATACACTGTTAATAATATTTTAATTTTTGCACAAAGTTTGTGTTTCAAAAAAAACCAAAAACATTAAACGTTATTTTGCTTGGCCTTTTGACTGATGATTTTTTTTTTATTTTTTTTTTCAATTTATTTTCATTTATGAAGTGTAGCATTATATAGAGAAAACAATTCTTGCCTCAGACATTTAAGACATTTAAGTATTGTTTATTTATTTATTAATTATTGTTAACAAATTTTTTTATACATATAATTATGTACCTTTCGAAAAAAAAACCTTTCGACTTTCGATAATACCTTTCGACTCTAATTTCGAACATGATATCAACTGTAAATTGCTGGAAATATAAAAAATGTGATTTAAAATATTTTTTTGTAATAATACATCCAGTGATTAGTTATTTAACGTTTTAGGTTTTTCATTTCCCCCTTTTATTAAGGGGATATCAAAATGCACTTGCCCATCAATCAGGTTGTCCTGTTGTAGACTGATGAAATAGCGTAATGTTGCAGGATTTTTGGAACACGACCCATACCGATGGAATTGGGAATTTCAGCAGTGTTTTGTTAAGAATTGGGGAAAAATGCAGTACTGAAATTTTTCATATTGAATGCAAAAATTACTGTCTATGATGGCATCTTCAAAGGTTTAAGCACTATTACAGTGAAGAAGCCCTTATTTGCAAAGATTTGAGAATTTTTATTCAATATTTTTATTTTGTAACTTTCAATTGGGAATTTTTTCCTGTGAATTGGGAAAAAGATATACTTTTTTCAATTGGGAATATGACCCAGTAACGGCTATAAAATAAGCCAAAAAAATCCCTGACAGTCTCTACTATTCAACAGAATAAGAAGACACATTTACTGAAGTTTGTTTTACAAAAGTGTAAATCTTAAGCATTGAAATTACTGATAAACATGTTGATAAAGGTAAAACCAGAAGGAATTTACAGCGTTGCTTAGATAGGTTTATATTTTATTAATGCTTTAAAACTTGAAACATTCTGCCAATTTCATGAAATTTCTCTTATGTTTTGCTTTAATTAATTGGTTTTGGCTCAAATTTAGATATTTTTGTGGAGCATTCATTAGTAGATTCTAATGTATAATTATGGAAGTTGAAGAAATTTAGAATTGATGCTCAATAATGACAATAAAATTTCGTTAAAATTAATCCTTATTATAGATACAAGCATTAAGGAATTTGATGGATAATTTTTCAATAAATCCTACAGTATATTAAAAGGTATTATCACTGGATTAAGGTTTTCAGATTTTAGGAATGACTTAATCCACGCAAAAGTCTGTATTTTGTTAAATCAGTTATAATCAAATTAGACGGCCTTCATGGACTTGTGGTTACAAGAAGTGCTACCAAATCACTTTGTACTTCTCAAGGTTATTTTAATATCCCACTGAATCACTAAGTCTTGCCACTCACCAAATCCCACAAGGGATTCTGTCATGCGAGGAAGTTGTTCCCCTGGCTTGGTTGTTTTACAGTTACACAGGTGCCCACTCATACTTGCTTGAAATATGCACTTAGGGGCACATTAGAGCTGAAATTCACCGTATGGCCATAATAGATGCCAAATTAAGATACCTTTACATTTTTACCATACCTTAAAAATCCAAAGCAAACTATTAATAACAGGTTCTACATGTATATAAGTACAATGTTAAAGTAGGTAAGGTTATTATCCGTATTTACATAAAATGATCTTCCAGTGTATTCAATATTTTCTTTTCTTTTCCTTGTTTTAAAAGATTTCCAGCAATTTGTACTTGATATCATATTTAGCACAAACTAACTGTCTTTCATAAAACCAGGGTTGAAATTACATTAGATGTATTCAGACCTGACGAAATCTCTTGCTAGTTTCTGGTATGGCAAATTTTGGAATAGCAATATTATGATTAATATTAATTAGTTGAAGGTGTGGCCTTAAGATAAAGGTGTGGCTCAAGCTCTTTGGCCATCCCAATAGTAAATATTAAAAGACCTTAATGTGTTTTCATTGGTATTGCCACTATCAATGTTTTATTAAGAAAATGAGACATTTTGTTTTTTAACATTTTGCCATAATTTGTTTACAATGGGATTATGCTAATCCTACTTGCTCCATATGATTAATGCAAGTTATAGAATTATATAACATCTTCCATTATATTCAGACTAGCCTGGAATTCAAGCAGTCTGACTATACTCTATACTGTATTCTTTTTTGTTATTCAACATCGTGGATTGTTCAATATTCAAGACAAGACAATTAAGTCTATTCTATAATTTGATTTACCTGGCAAAAGTAAATTTGACATATGAAATTCGGAAAAATGTTGAAAATGTTCAGCCTATCCCTTATTGTATCACTATTAATGAATGACACATTGATGTAACATTTTCTGACATTTTATCCCTACACTATAACAATGCTTTCACTTGAGTAGTTTTTAATTAATTATTCATGAAAACAGCCATAGGCCATTACATTGTGATTTCCAATTTGCCATACGAGAAACTTTGCTGCATTTAGCAATACTTTTATTATAGTCATTATATTATATATTTGTGTGTGAAAATTGTACAGATTTTTGTTTATATTATACACCACTGTTGATATTAGCATTTTAAGATTGTATTTTTACCTTATATGGCTGTGCTGTGTTAATGCGTGTTTGTGTGTTGTTGGAAGAAATTTGCTGCACTTTTGAACTCTTTTCACTACCATGTTTGCTTAAAAGCAACAGTAAAATAATAATACTGTAATTGTAATAATAATACATTTGTACTGTAAGACATGTCACTGTTGTAAAAATGTGACTTACACAAGAATATGAATTTTGATAAATTTTGAATAAATTTAGATTTTAACTTTTGATTGAAGTTTGAATTATATAGTTTGTCAATTGTTGTTCATCAAACTGTATCTAAAATTTCACAAATTTAAAAAAAAAATGGAGAAAGCTTTCATATTTTTATATAAAGGCACAACATTTTACATGAATTTCTGGAAATTAATTTTTGCATAGGGAGTTACATTTTATATGAAATCTGGCAGTGAACTTGTTAAAATATTGACTAAAAAAAATAACCCTCTTTTTGCACATGTTTTGTGCAAATTTTTCTTCTATATAATGTGAATAATAGTGATTTATAAACAAACAAAAAAACATCATGAAAATAATATATTTTTTTCTGAAATGTGTAAAGATATATTTCTTTTTCTGACAACAATTTAATATCTTTATTTGTAACTAATTCATACAAATTGTTCAAAGGTTATACAACTATAATTTAGATACTTCAGGTCCTAGACTGGATTTATAATCTCTTTTTTGATTGGTTAATTACCAGTATACAACTATGCATCATCCAATCAGATGCTGATTTATTTTTAACTATTGTCAATGCTGAAACAACAACACACCAAACTTTATCTGTGTTAGTGCTAACTAAATTTGTTATAATAATATTGTAGTATTTATAATAGAAAATAATATTCTGTGTTATTTGTTAGTATTGATGGAAAATTGTAAAACTGTGGAAACTATATCTTTTAGTGTATAGAGTAACGCAAGTTTTATGCTAGGTCCTCTAAATAACAATGTTAATATCCATTGTAAATTCTTAAAATTTAATTAATGTTTTCGAAGTTCGGTCAACACCGGTGTAGCAACCAACCATAACTGTTGTGAGATTTTTGCTGGCTTTGTTTTTAACCATTAAACAAGGTGTTGTATGCCTTAAATTTTGTTAACCAAAAACAATTACTGTCAAGTTGAAATTCTGACAAATTCACTGTTATATTCATGTATTATTTTTAACCAGGTTTTCCGAAGGAAAAAACTGGTTATTAGATTGAGGTATGTCGGCGGGCGGATGGGCGGGCGGGCGGACGGGCGGGCGGGCGTAAACAATTTCTTCTGTGCGCAACTCCTCCTACATTTCTCAACGGATTTTGACCAAACTTTCACAGAAGCTTTGTCATCAAGTGCCCTGGCGCATATTGTCGGGGTTTTGCGATTAGATAATATTGACCTAATTATGGCCATTTGTTTTTTTTTCCTTATATAAAAATATATAGTGAACAATTTCTTCTGTGCGCAACTCCTCCTACATTTCTCAACAGATTTTGACCAAACTTTCTCAGAAGCTTTGTCATCAAGTGCCCTGTCACATATTTCCAGGGTTTTGCAATTGGTATATATTTGACCTAATTATGGCCCTTTGTTTTTTTTCCTTATATAGAATATATAGTGAACAATTTCTTCTGTGCGCAACTCCTCCTACATTTCTCAACGGATTTTGACCAAACTTTCACAGAAGCTTTGTCATCAAGTGCCCTGGCGCATATTGTCGGGGTTTTGCGATTAGATAATATTTGACCTAATTATGGCCCTTTGTTTTTTTTCCTTATATAAAATATATAGTGAACAATTTCTTCTGTGCGCAACTCCTCCTACATTTCTCAACGGATTTTGACCAAACTTTCTCAGAAGCTTTGTCATCAAGTGCCCTGTCACATATTGCCAGGGTTTTGCAATTGGTATATATTTGACCTAATTATGGCCCTTTGTTTTTTTTTCCTTATATAGAATATATAGTGAACAATTTCTTCTGTGCGCAACTCCTCCTACATTTCTCAACGGATTTTGACCAAACTTTCTTAGAAGCTTTGTTATCAAGTGCCTGGCACATATTGTCGGGGTTTTGTGATTGGATAATATTTGACCGAATTATGGCCCTTTGTATATTTTTTCCTTATACAGAATATATAGAGAACAATTTCTTCTGTGCTCAACTCCTCATACATTTCTCAACGGATTTTGACCAAACTTTCTTAGAAGCTTTCTTATCAAGTGCCTGGCACATATTGTCGGGTTTTGTGATTGGATAATATTTGACCGAATTATGGCCCTTTGTATATTTTTTCCTTATACAGAATATATAGTGAACAATTTCTACAGTGCGCAACTTCTCCTACATTTCTCAATGGATTTTGACCAAACTTTCACAGAAGCTTTGTCATCAAGTGCCCTGGCGCTCACTAAATTCCCATGTTTCTTCCAAGACATCATTCAAGTATTTTTTTAAAATTGTGATCATACTTTTCTTGATATCGCACAAAACACCACACGCCAATATTGTTGACAAAAGAAAATGACAAGAGACGCAAAAATGCAAAAATTAAGCAAAAATAAAGTACTGTTTACCTTTCTAAAATATTTGGGAAAAAAAGGCGAATAGACAACATAAAATTTCTCAATCATTTTTGTTTGAGGAATATTAAAAAGCCATAATTCCTCCTAAAAGTTCAATTAAAAACAAATGCCCCTTCATGACAAAGCTTCTGTGAAATATTTTGCTGAAAACCTGGTTGCATCGCATTGCGATGTTCCTTGTTCGGAAATGAACCAATTGTGATGAATTTATGCAAAAGGGGAATGGTTTCCTCCAAAGTATGGTGGTCCAGTTATTTCTCCTCTATTTGTTTAGTTACATGTTCTTTGGTTCATAAATTGTTAAAGAAATTAGATTCCAGATAAGTGATAAATTAATCATTTCGAAACTAAATTATTGCTTTGTTAAACTATAAAGACTATTAAGTACTCTTGTTAAAGTACTAGTGAAGTGTGAGTGAGTGGGTAGTAAAAATGTTGGCAAAGTTGTTTTGTTTATTTATTTAAACACACAATTCTCCACATTTTGTATTTAAGAAGATTATTTTTTTTTTGCTTATCTAAAGTGAATTATGTTTTACTGACATGTATGGAGGTTTGTCTTGAGGGCAAGAACCAACTTAAGTTGGGAGAGATAAAAATAGAAGCTTTAAAAATAGAAACCTTATTAGGTTTCTAAATTTGTTCATATAGTAAGATTATTAGTGGTTAAACTGTAAGACTCTTGGTAAGAACTGAATGTACCCATGCTTCCAGTACAGACAGAGATGACTTTAGGCACATCAGTACCATCTGATCATGGTCTGTACTGTTTGCTATTATTATTCAGTCAATATATATTTTGAAATTTTCCCTAAAAAATGATAAATGGTTTTGTCCAGATTGAAAAATAGGCAGGTCCATTTAAGATATTCAGTTGAGTAAGTGTTAAAAGGGTGGTGAGTAAATGGAGAAAAAATTAGTATGATATAAAGAAGAAGCATAATAGAAAATATATATTTCTTAAGCTTTAACTGTTATTATACTTATAGACAATAAATACTAGCCTATGCTACCGGCATTGAGGCATGTAATATATAAAATTGAGCTGCGTCATGACAAAACCAACATAGTGCGTTTGCGACCAGCATGGATCCAGACCAGCCTGCGCATCCGTGCAGTCTGATCAGGATCCAT